CTTGTTCTAACAATTGTCTTAGAATAAGGAAAATGTCTAAAAGATGGAAGTTGTGGAGTTCGACGACCCTTGGAGCCGGTACAAAGGTAGTTAAGCGGTTGGATGAGAAGGGAAAAGAAAACAAATAATTGGAGACTATTCTGTTATAAGTTAATCATGGACACCATGTCTAAACTAATTAATTAAATTTGATATGTCAATCCGTGGTATCTGATACTCATTAGGAATATGTTCCATCCCAATTTTTTTTTAAATCTATTTTCAAAGCGTTTGAAGTCAATCTCAGTCTTAAAAACAAAGGTGGGTCACTCTAAATTTGTTTTTGTATGCAATCTTTTAGACATCGTCAAAATTCAGTAATTAATAGCATTATTAATAGGAACACCAACTTGGTTTTCCTTTCAATAATGTTCAAGTGGTACTATTAAAAAAATTGTTGCTATATGCCTAGTTCATAGGTGCACCGTCGGTGCTGTTAAAGTCTTATTTTCCTGATGGGATATGAAGTATAAGCCCACGTAGACTCGTCAGATTGGGATAATGACACAAATAGTCCCTGAACTTGGCCCAATGTACAATTTGGTCCATAAACTTTTAATTTGTTCAATGTAGTTCTTGAACTTTAAACTAATATTCAATGTGGTCCCTGAACTTTTGGTACATGTTCAATTCAATCCCTAAACTATATGAAAATGTTCAATAAAGCCCTTGAACTTGAATTAATGGAAAGGACTGCATTGAATATTTTCATATAGTTCAGGGACTGAATTGAACATGTACCAAAAGTTCAGGGATGACATTGAACAAATTAAAAATTCAGAGACCACATTGAACATTAGCCTAAAGTTCAGTGACCACATTGCATATTAGATTAAATTTCAGGGATGATATTGAACATAATAAAAGTTCATGAATCAAATTGCACATTCGACTGCTTCTTCTTTCCAATGAAAAAGGAAAGGGGGAAAAAAACAGAGAGAAGTAAATCTCTATTCCTACCACTGATGGTGACAATTGAGAGAAAATATTGAGTAGTTTAGAAGTTTCGGTATTTTTTTTCAATAGAATCATTTGTAATTTGACACATGTCTTAAATAAAAAATAAAATAAAAACACGTGTCTTTTCTCTCTCTCTCTTCCTCCTCCATCTGGCCATCGCCTTGCCTGAGCCCCGCGCTTCCCTCGATTGTCGCCGGGGGCAGAGTCGCCGGCACCACGTCCAGGCTGACCACCATCTTTGTCATCTTCATGGGCGGCTCCGTCTTCCCGAGCATGACATCTATTACGCTGTTTTTCTTTTTGCATTTTGAGTTTGCAGTGCTTCCCATCATTGGCGGCTTGTCCATGGCATCTCGACCTCGCCGTCGAGACTCGGGGCTATTGACGAGCTTATGTCGCCATATCTGTAGGCATGGCTCAAGATCTGGAAGTTTGGCTCTGTTTGTGGTCTTACATCACAGGTTTTATGGTCAGCTTTGTCGAGAGTCTTCGCCAAATCTGGAAGTTTTCGACTCTATCTTGTATCGCAGTCTCTACGGTCGACTTTGTAAAGGGTCGTGGTCATTGCGGCAGCCTTCGTCCAGCTGAACCATTCCCTCTATTTTTCCATTAAGCTTGTGGTCTCCGTCGGGATGGTCCAGGCTAGAACTGGAGGCATGAGAAAGGTGCGGCAACAGAGGCAGAGAGGGAGAACTCGAGCTGGGTTTAGCGGTCAAGGCACGGCGGTGGGTGTCAAGGATGGAGGTTGTGGTGGTTGGCGCGGTGGAGACGGTAGAGGGACTAGGCGGTGGCCGGATAGAGGAGGAAGATAAAGAAAAACAAGACTTTTACTTTTTTTATTTGAAAACCGTGTGCAATTGTAAGCAATTTATTCAGAAAAATGATAACCACGTCAGTTAATAACGTGACGCTTGCAAACTACTAAATATTTTCATGATAATTAAGCATAATCAATGCCATCTAAGTCTAAAATGGTTGGACGCGCCCGGTACAATGTATGCTTTGTATGAACCTACTAAACTAATCCGTACATATAAATATGCCACATCGAAAATTTGCGGTAGCTTTGAGAATACTACTGTTGTAAAGAGTTTGCCGAACACCTTATAAGAGCAACAAAACCCATTTCTTCGGCTGGGGTTGTTGCGGGAATACTGTACCAAAAAAGCTCTTGGACTTTGGTGATTGGATAGGTAAACGTCAAGAATGGTTCAATGACTTGACATTTTCGGTCCACTTAGAACATGACATAAACATGATACATCCAAGATGAATTTGCTTTACCATCCGTTTGTGGAGTTGTGGTCTTCATGATGAAAGTTATTAGCTCTAATTGCCGAGCCATGTTGAGAAAATTACAACGAAACTAGCACCATCACTAGACCATCCAAGACTTCTGGGAAGGAAGAGCTGAAGAAACCTTTAAAAGGTAAGAAAACATAACCAAACTTTGCCACATTTTCTCAAATCCAGAAGTACATCACTCTTTTTAGCCCCCACAACACAGAAATAAGAACTCCGAATAAGCGCAAGGACTCAGAGTCCAACAACAATGCCCTGATTCAGAATTTGCAATACTCAAAAGCAATTACCCCGACAGCATAACCGACTGCTTGGTTTGAACAGCACTCCCAAAGCATGTTAGATACAGATGCAGGTCCAAATGATAAGAACGAGCATATGTAGAAATTAGAGATGAAGGAACACGAAGTAGAAGCTTAATTCATTCCATTATGGATGAAGCATGGACTGTGGAGGCTAAAGCGAGCTTACAAAATTAGATCATAGAACAAACCCAGCACATTATACAAATTTAGTGACAGCCTGAGCTCATGTTCAGTAGGGCTATCCTAAGCCCTAAATGGGCCAGCACTACCTTAAGCATGAACAATCATGGCTCCACCAACCAGACTTTCCAATTCCGACGTTACGAGCTGGATAATTGCCAAGACTATGAACCAGATATGCGCACTGAAGCTGCCCTAATGCATTCACCTAAGATGCAGCATGGACTTTAAAAGAAATATACTTCCCAGCATTTTCTTAGACACCACAATCAAAGCAAATGATATCCTCACTGCATAAGGTATTCGGATACTTCCTACGAATGACTGACAAAGTTGAAGCATGACAATGACACAATCACCAAAAGGCAGACTTATGATCCTCCTTTAACCCAAGTATGATTCACCTCAGAATGTAAGCTGCCACAAAGTTTTGTCACTAATATAAAAAGTTGTGAAGGCATGCAGATTGTGTGGGTCCTTGAAATTCAAGTTAGCATCCATCAAACTACTTGCTTCATACTAGTCAGCTGTTCACACTCTCCCCATTTCCATGATTGGCGCTGCAAGAGCTTCCTAAAATCCCCATGCTGTCCGGCCGACTTTAGGTGGACTAGCTACACTGTACATTGTGAATATTTCTGATGCACTCCTTAAATCTCAATGCCTCATTTCTGGAGGAACTTCTCAAATCTTACTCAAAATATTATATGCATTCCCCTCCTGAAAAGCTACATGTGCTTCGGCCTAACATTCTCTTATCAAGTAACAGTGTTTTGGGCCAATAGAAGGTAATCTCATGCCTAAGAAACTCCTTACTCAAAAACTAAAGCTCTGCCTACCTTCCTATAAGGAATGATGCCTCCAGAACTATATACTAACTCATGATGGAGATCGCCCAAACATTAAGTGATGGAGATTAGCAAGAGCTGCAAATAAAGCTAAAGAAAAGTAGCTTCCCATGACATTTATTTGTAACAGGCAGTATGGTGTCCCCACGTGACGAAATAGATTCCGAACATCACTCTTTCACAGGCGGACACATCAGTACCAGACATTACATGTGAAGACCGATAGGGTTTTCACAAAAAGGAAAGACTGGCAAAGGCTAAAAGTTGGTGAAGCCCAAGTCGCATAAACTCCAACTATACAGTAAACAATATACTAGTAGTAGTCCCATCATCATTCACACAAACGGGATGTGAGAAAAACTTATGCTATGGTTTAATGCTCGGTACAAAATCACAAGAGAAGCTGTTGGAGTGCATTGTAACCAATAAAAACAACTGTCCTTCCATGCAAACAAAGCGTATGGACTTCAAACAATCGAGTCTTATACACCAGGGTCATCATGATTGCCAAACCCCCTCACATAACATGAGCAAGGTACGTAGTCTGGGATACCCTTATACCTGGAATTGTCACAATGACTGATCCATTTGACCCAAACATGTCCTCATGCAAGTAAAAGACGAAAACACAAATCCGATGACACTAGTGTACATTCTCCAACTATTAAACTTTTGGAATCACACAAAATGACTCGGATGGAAATATGCCAATACATTCTTTCGTATTGCCAGCTTAATAAGAAGTAGACCCAATCCTCATTCATTAGACGAACTCATAGCATGCCACAACGATCTAGGTAACATATTTCAGACATGAATGTATTTCATTTCCTCAAACTACCCCTCCATTATAGACAAATCCTTGAGCATAACTTATCACAAAGTGCAATCATGAGGACATACCCAGAGTATGCTCCAAAACCACATTGAATAAAAACTGATTGAGGAACATGATGATGAAATTGATTATGGATCATCACACAACCTGAGTTGCCTTAATTGACTACTAGTCGTGAGATATATATATATATATCCTATTTACTTAATTAAATTATGTATTTTCATGTCAGCAACAGCACGTTCTACAAGAACCTACCGTACGCAAATTCTTTTCTCTCTATCATTTCTTAGTATTTACTTAATCCGCCATCCAGCATAACACATATCTTGAGAATTTCAGCAGCAACCACTTATTACATCTTCAGGAAAAACATAGTCAGCATATGTCCCAGACAACAGAAAGCTCATCCAGCTGCCAACCTAAGTTATTTACATCACACTATATTAAACACGTATGTCGAAATAGAGACCGACATTGCCCATCACCAGCAAAGAAGCATACCAACCAACCAATCCGGTATTGAAATCAGTAATCAGGGCGATACTCGCTATAATCATCCCTTCCAGCCAAGTCGCTCTCAACCCTCTCGGCGATCTTCTCTTCCTCATAGTTCAATCCCTCTTCCAATGCTAGCCCACCCAGCGCTCCAGCAACCGCTCCCACAGCCAATCCTGCCCCTAGCCCCATCTTCCCACTTCTCTGCTTCTCGTATGCCATTGTGTAATCGACAGGTGCGGACGGGCCACCGCTAGGCCCGCCATAACCCGAACCCCGATCATAAAATGGCCGCGGTGGAGGGGGCGGAGGCGCAGACGAGTAGTACCCCGGATAGTATCCAGGATAGGCATCCGAGTACGCGTACGAATAAGCAGGCGGCGGCTGAGCCGGGCCCGGTGGTGGCGGCGGCAGCGGAGGGGCCGCTGCGTAGGTCGGAACAGAATACGGCCTGTACTCGCGGACGGTAGCGGGCGGCGGCGGGGGCATCGTCACGGCCTGCGCCACCACGAGCGGGGCCGGCGGTGGGGGGAGATACGCCGAGCGCGAAGCCGGCGGCGGAGGAGCGGCGGCGGCCCCGTAATAATACCCGGAAGGCGGGACGAGGTACTCCGGCGGGGGCGGCACGGGGCGCTCGCGGACGGCCAGCTTGATCCGGATCTTGCCGTGGGGCCGACCGGACGGCCGGACGAGCTCGTACGTGCGGATCTGGTCCCGGTCGTGCGGGTCGGGCAGGTCCTTGAGGTGGATCAGGAGGGAGCCGACGAGGGGCTTGGGGGTCTCGGACGGCTTGGAGTGGAAGACCTCGAGGGTGAGGGCGGAATCGGGGAGCGGGAAGGGGAGGGGGACGGTGAACTGCTCGTTCCAGACAGGCCGGGTCGAGCCGGAGTCGTCGGACTTGGTGGCGAGGCGGCGGTCGGGATCGACCCAGAAGATGGCGTAGGGCTTGAGGCCGCCGTTCTTCCAGTTGACGTTCTTGAGGTGCTTGGCGTTGACGACGGTGAGGTCGAGCTCGAGGGGCTTCGCCGGCGGGATGCGAGAGGAGGCCATTGATGCCGTCGGAGGAGAGAGATAGGGATTCGGGGGTGGGTTCTGCGGGGAGAGAAGACGATGGGACGCGGTGAGTCGCGAGTTTCTCGGCTCGGAGATATTTAAACGGAAGCCGGAAGATTTTCTCTTTTTTTTTTTTCCCTCTTTATATTTTCATAAACACATTAATTTCTTATCAATCAAAGGCATAATTCCAGAAAATACTCCCCAACTATAAGTTAAGTCCCAAATCTTTCGTGAAATTTTTTTTTATCTCAGAAAAATCTCAAACTTTAGGTTCAGTCCCAAATCTGCCCCAAACTTTTTTTTGTCTCAGAAAAAAACCCAAACTTTAAGTCCAGTCTCAAATCTGCCACGAATTTAAAATCACCAAAATTCAATTTATTTTCAAAAATATACTCCGGTGATCCAATCCCAACTTGACGTTACACTTCCACATCGATAACAAATAAACATCAATAAAGTAATAAGGCTTTTTTTTAGACAAAGAAAAGTTCGGAGCAAATTTAAATTAAACCTAAAAATTAGGTTTTTTTTAAATTAAAAAAAAAATTGGCATGGATTTGTTATCATCCATAACTTTCATATCCTAGAATGGTTTTATTTTGGAGAATTTCAACAATTTTTGTTTGATTTGATTTGTTATCGAAATGAAAATTTAACGTCGATCTGTACCTATTGCTCCAATACTTTGCTGATGTAAATTTGTTATGATGTGAAAGTGCCATGTTAAGTTGGGACTGGATCACCGGGGTATATTTCTTAAAATAAATTGAAATTTGCTGATTTTTTTTACATAAAACAAAGTTCGAGGCAGATTTTGGATTGAACGTAAAGTTTGGGGTTTTTTCTAAAACAAAAAAAAGTTCGAGGCAGATTTAGGACTGGACCTAAAGTTTGGAATTTTTTTTTAGGTAAAAAAAGTTTATAGCAGATTTGGGACTTAACCTAAAGTTTAAGGTTTTTTAGGAAATTCACCCATCAATCAAATATCTCGGAACTAGTACATTTATGATAAATTTACCCTCAACTAATTTTTTGACCATAAAAAAACCCTAAACTAAAATTTTGACCATCAAAAACCTAAAAATGGTACATTTGTAATAAATTTACCCTATGTGAAATTTGATTAATATCATGAAAAATTAAAAAAATGGTACACTTGTAACAAACGGAGGGTAAAACCCCAAATTAGTACACCTGTCAATTGCCACGTGTCATCCAACTTAGAAATTTGACGGTAAAATTTAACGGAAATTAATAGAGGGTAAAATTGTCACAAGTATACCAGTTTGGGGTTTTTCGTGATATTAACCATTTAGAAATAGGATTAATACCATGAAAAATCCAAAACTTGTACACTTGTGATAAATTTATTTCAAAATAACTTTTTAACCACCAAAAATCCGAAACTGGTACAACCCTTCGTTAGTTTTCGTTACATTTTATCGTTAAATTGCTTAATTGGATAACAGTTGTACCAATTTAGGGTTTTACCTATCTGTTTGTCATAGGTTTACCAATTTACGTTTTTTCGAAGTATTAATTTAATTTAACGGAGGGTAAATTTGTTACACGTTTACCAGTTTAGGGTTTTTAGTAGTAAAAAAAGTAGTTTTTGGCAAAATTTTCATAAATGTATTAGTTTGGGGTTTTTCGTGACATTAACCCTTAAAAATAAAACCATAGAAATTCTAAAGTGAGTTTGGAAACTCAAGAATGTAATCTCAACAAATTTTGAAATAATACAACGGATTTGATTTCCCTGTTTTCCAATATATATAGGTGGGAACCTATTATCTGGTTATGAGATTCGAAGCTTTGAGACTATAATCTACGATGTTAATCTTGAAATTTGTCCGATCTATGTTAAGATTTCCATATGGTTTTTCTCAAATATCAAGGATCAATGCCAGTCAAATTTTTGCCGGGACATTAGTAATGTCGTCTGTCAATGAATGGATTTGAACCATTGAAAATGAGAGGTTAACAAGTCCGCAAGAATTGAACTAGCCTAATCAAATTAATGAAGCACAATAGCAAATAATACCGCCTTGTTCTTTTGATAATTTTCTTTCTAACATTCCCTAGAAAAGCTAGGTACGAATAAAAGGTATCCCCAGTTTTAGGAAACTATAAAGAACTATATATTATATTAATTATCAATATACATATTTTTCGAAAGGTTTTAAGGATTATAATTATTTTTTTCTATTTCTTTTTCACCTATAAGAGAGGAATGTGTAGTTTAATATTTTAAATATTCAATCAATATTCGAACTTAGTATCTCTTTCTCTGATATTATATGAGATTTATAGAACCACTGCCAATTATTCTAAGAAGCTTAAGCTGTTAAAGAAATATGTGGTTTAGGGTGCACATTTTCCTCATTTTTTGGCATTTGGTTTACTTATGAGGAAAATGATTACCTCTTTAAAAGAACCGAGAAACATTTTCCGAAATATGATTAGCTATTGACGCTTAGACTCGAAACTCTACGCTTGATCAGGGAAACTTCAATGTTGGTTCCGAGTCCCGGCACTCAGGACCATTTGTAAGGTTTAAGCTTAAGAGATTGCTAAAGACGTTTTTTTGCAGGATTCCTAGATCCGGGAAATTATTTTCCTTTATCATTGAGTTTTCCGCGAAAGAAACGCACTCTTATTATTTAAATATTTTGAAACTTACATTCAAACTCAAGTTGACATCTTCTATGCACCTTGAGTTTGAGGGGGAAATTAGAGGTATTTAGATATTTTCTTGAGATATTGAGGATATTTCCTCTATACTAAGGTGTTCCTCTTGGATAATTTTATTTGTTAGAGATATTTTAATAAGGGCCGCACTTTTTCCACTTCTCCAGCTTAAACACTCCATTTTATATTGATTTGGCCATCCTATCCCTTGTGGGACTCACCACTTTGGTACAATTTTATATGGTTTTTTATTATTTGGTCAACTTTTTTATTTTGATTTTTTCCATGTGGGTCATATTTTCCCATTTTCACTTTGGTACGTCCTATCCCTTCTTCTTTCTTTTTATGCCCTTTCCTCGTCTGTCTATTTTCTCACTCGCAAGCCATTCTCTTTTTTCTACGTGTTGCACTCCTTTTTTTTATTCTTCTTCTTCCACACACCCATCGTCCTCGATTTATTATCCATGATGTCTACCCCGTCATTTTCCACACATTCGTGGGTACTGACATTGGGCTCACGGGTAACCTCCCTAACGAGTCCCTTTTCTCCACATGAAGGCTCTTCTTGCACCATGGAAGGTAATATTGAGAAGCACCTCTTCTCTCTCTTTCTTTTTTTATATTGTTTTCTCCTCTTCTTGCACATGTGAGAGTGTAGAAAAAGAAAAAAGTGTCTCGATCATGTGTAGGCATACAAGTTGAGGGCAATAAGCGACAATCTTTAAGCTCTGAATTTCAGGTGATATTGCAAAAATGTAAAGCAAACTACTCATAGGCAACAAAACAAAACCTCCGGCATGGAAATCAAAACCACCTAGAATAAAGAGAAAAAACATACCAAAAGAACAACATAAAGCTAATTACAGTCACTCTGCCACATGTGACGAAAAATAAAATTCAAGCAATTGCACAATTAATTCATAAGCATTATTTTGACGTACACTAAGCTCTAAACGCAAGAGTAAAACATAAGATCAAGCATTTCCATGACCCAAAACTCAAATTCATTTTTAAGAAAAGATATCAAGAAATAATTCGAGACCAAGAAAACTAAAGAGGGAAAAAACAAGCGTTCGCTAGAATCGTGAATGAGGAGGGGGCGGATTGCTGAAGTAAGACGTTCTTTTGTGAATTGCAAATGCATGAGAGATTTGTGGAAGAAGAAGGAGGAGGAATGCGAGACATACAAAGAAGAGAATGGTCTACAAGAGAACATAGAGACAAGTGGGAGGCATGGAAAAAAAAAAAAGGAAAGTGGGACCTAAGGAATAAAAAGAGTTGACCAATAATTAAAAAAATTATAATATATAATTATACCAGAAGTGGTGGGTCCATAAGGGTTAGGACGGTCAAAACAACAAAAAATGGAGTGTTTAAGTCATAGAAAGAGTGGAAAAAGCGCGATCATTTCGATAATTCTATTAATTATCCGTATCTCTTAATATTGCACACATATTGCACGTGTTGCACGTATTTCTCTCTTTGATTGTACATATTTTGATTGAGATATTATCTTATAATAATTATCTAATAAAACATATAATAGGTTGATGCATTCTTCATTAATATACATATCAAAATATATACAGAACATTTCACAACTTTATTTTCCACTTTATTGCTAACTTCACCCATTCGATTCAAGTAACGGATAAAGGAAAACACAACAATATGTCAGAAATTAATAAGAGACTGACATTCACTGACTGAAAAAAATTCTTGTGAAGAAAGTTCACATGCCTCGACACTGCTGCATTTAGAATCATGCAATGTATTCACTCCTACCAATAGATATAAATAAAGATTGAATATGGTTATTGCTACCGTTTGCACGAAGAATCAATTTGAGGTTTTTGATGGTCAAAAAATTAATTTGGGATTAATTTGTCACAAGTGTACCGATTTGAGATTTTTCATTGTATTAACCCTTTTGTTTATGATCAAGATTTTGCTATTCTAAAGAATCGAAGGTTCTTTCTATAACTGTCATTTTAAATACCAAATTATTGAAATTTTAAAATAGATGCCTTTTGGTCTTATTGCTCCTTTTTAAATATAAGATGAAAATGTCGTAACAGTTTCACTCATTGATTCTTGAACTTGCCTACGTTCTGATCTAAGTTCTTGAATTCTTAATTGGGAAAATTCCAAAAATGGCCCCGAAATGGAGTTATTTTCTCAAATAAGTGCCCGAAGTGAACATTATCTTAAATAAAGGCTTGAAGTGGCCAAATCGTCTCAAATAAGGGCATGAAGTGGCTAAATCATCTAAAAAAATGACCTTTGGCTGGCCGGTGACTATT